CTGGCACACGTTGTCACATCCAGTTCAGAGGAGATAGGCCATTTCGGGCATGCGATGATGTTGACACGCGTGACGGCTGTGAAATGTCATTCCGCTTTCCAGCGCAGTGCAATTATGCCTTTTGTTCACGACTGCCCGTGATCAGTCGGTAATAATGCAGTGTGGAGGATGCATTCTGTCGCAATGAATCAAGTGAGCTTAAATAAACTGGTAAACTGTGTTATGCTCATGCAAGANGTGCAAGATTTCTAACACACATACCTATCTACTTATTACTCTTCACTACCTTGATGCATGTTATAAAACTACTCAATTAAATAATTGAATATAAAATACTTTTCATCCACTAACCAGCTCAGTGAAGGGTCGTTCTATAGCGGAATCTATTATGTCAATCTATTATGCTCAAAACTTTTTCAATCTCAGTCATAAATTGTCACTGCGATTGATAAATTATTGAAAGCCTTGGACTATGCTTGGTTGGGATTGAATTTGGCTACTTTAGACTGACGGCTTAACGTACCCTTCGATTTATAATTATTTCTTCGTATTCTTCTGGATTGAACAATCAGAAAAAAAAATCATTCCCTTACCATTAGGTACACTTTCATCATCATCATCATTTCAGCCATGGGACGTCCACTGCTGAACATAGGCCTCCCCCAATGATTTCCACAATGACCGTTTGGTGGCGCGTCCAGCGCCTTCCCGTTACCTTTAAGAGGTCGTCGGTCCACATTGTGGGTGGACGTTCTTCGTTCCATTACACTTTAGTTTTGATTTAATTCTTGCAATGCTGTAGTCCGCCCACTGTTTAGTAAAACCCTTTGTATTTGTTTTAGTGGCCTTAAGATGTCAACAACAGCTGACGTTAACTTGCACAAGCATCCAACCTTGGGTATGACCTTTTATTTCAAAGCTAGACCATTTTGTATTCGCTGTTTTCTTTTACATTGCTTTTTAAAGAAGTATAATAATTTAGTTTGCAACTATTTAGTCGTAGTCATGCAAAGAAACATTTCATTTTAAACTGAAAAGTTGTAACAGAGGAGTCTTTATATTCCTCTTATAACTGACTTTAAAGCATGTAAAGATACATTCATAAGTATTTAAAAAGTAGCACGGAAAATACAATATTGAATAGCTAGGCTGTTAGTCAATGTAATGGAAATCAAAACAAAACCATCTAAACTAAGTACCTCCTCACTCTTAGCTTGTGGTCATGGCCACAAGTTTTTAGCAAAAGCGATACCATTATGCCGTCTCTCTATTACAAATATAGCTATTTCCTCAAGTTCTATCATGGCGCCTTGTAGCACCTACGCTTTGGTTTGTTCGTCAACTGAGAACATGATTGTGCTAGACACTCGGCGGTGGTCAGATGTCGGTATGACACGTGACAAGGTGGTTATATCGTATAGTCAAACATAAAACACGTTAAAGTCGAAGTTATATCAGACTGCACAATTTTGCCGCAAAATATGCCATAATAGAATGACATGAGATGCCACAGTGTACAGACAATTACTTATTCGAAATAGTGCCTATTACAAGTACAATAACTACACAAAAGCCGCAGTATTTATCTTGATAAATAATGTATAAATGTATCTCGCCCGCATAAGCTAGTCAGAAGCAGTTTATATTCTCTACTCGTATGAAAGATTTTATTTGGCTAAAAGAGTCAATAATTAAATTTTCCATCCATTATTAGCAATTTATGTTGAATGTATGTCGCTAAAAAGCGCTTTAGATGCGCTTAAAACAGCAGAATATACTAAGTATCCATTAAAAAATCAGTATCAAAATCCGTTGCGTAGTTTTAAATATCTAAGCATTTAGCATAGGGTCAGACAGCGGAAAGCGACTTTGTTTTATGCTATGTAGTGATTAAGCCACGTCCAAGAGCCACGTGGAAAGCGTCGGATGCACCCAATACCGATTCCGAAAAACCTATTGAGAGAAGCAATGGAAACGTGTCGAGCGGCCGTGCCAATATGGCGGAGTCTGTTACATTCGCAGACGAAATCGCATTTGCTCTCACAGTTGTACGGTCATCGCACACAGTGGATATAGGATTGATATTGTAACGTATCTGCAGTGTATCAATGTATAACAGTAAAAGTAGATAACGACAAGGCTCTATAAACAAAGTTATCGACAAGTTTTTGTATGTAAGAATGCTGAAACTCTGCTGCAAGTAATGTCATAATGTTAATTGTGAAAAATCTAAAACGTTAAAATAACGGTATCGTTATAGCCAATGAGCTGCTGTCATAGTGACATTGACGTAGTTAATGTAAATGTCACACGAGCAAACGTTAGATAGGGACGGGCAGAGACGACTCAGACGACTAAGCAATGAATTGTATTAAAACTAGGCAATATAATGTGAAAGTTGAATATACAGTGTTTTATTTATGAAAATAGATCTACCGGCCTCTAACAATAAGTATGTACAATCAAATATAACACAAGGAAAGTCAAGCTCTATTCATGTTACTAAAATAATCACGTAGTAGCATAAAAACTAGAACTAATCCCTAAAATCTACTTCTACTCCAAGCTTAGCTGGAAATGCTACAGCTTAAAGATACTCGTAGGAGCGCTCCGATAGCTTAGGGTTTCTGTTATAATATTAGTATTTTATTTTTATCAAAATATAATTTTCTTGGACCTATTAATTAAAATCCTTACTACATTTTATAAACATGTTTTCCTTTATTTTGTACTAGCTTTCCACCCGCGACTTCGCCCGCGTGGACTACATTTACACCTTGTGTCCGAAAAACCCAAATATTATATGGAACCCTATTTTTTATAAAATAAAATTTAGCCTATGTTACTCGTGGATAATGTAGCTTTCGAATGGTATAAGAATTTTTAAAAACGGTCCAGTAGTTTTTGAGCCTATTCATTACAACCAAACAAACAAACAAACAAACAAAAAAAGTTTTTCTCTTTATAATATTGGTGTAGATTTATGTTATGGTTGTCTCTGACAAATTAGAGAGCTAAGGCTGCTTAGAGAACTGAACGACCTGACGATGATGATGCAAAAGCACAAAGCTACACAAAAACGCTCCGACCCCTAACATGTGCAGATTCCAAAACTGTCTTCCAAACAACCCGAGTCTAACATCTAGTAGACTGTGAAACCGTCAGAACCGGAGAAATGCATCCAATACGAATTCCGAAAGCGTCACGTATTCAAAGCGGCTAGGGGCAGAGCTAGGGGCTAGGGCAGTGGTTCTTAACCGGTCCGCGGACCACTGGTGGTCCCTGGAGGCATTCCAAGTGGTCCACGAAGTGCACTTGCACGCCTTAGTCAAAACCACTTTAAACTGATTTTTGCAGTCAAAATGGTTCACTTTAGACCGATTATGATTATGAGGTGGTCCCTGACAAGACAGAAATTTGGTAAAATGGTCCCTCATGATTTAAAGGTTAAGAACCACTGGGCTAGGGGCTAGGAATGCGCCGATAAGTGTGGCGCTTCTGTTACACTCTCCGACGCGATCTAATTTACTCTAAACTTTTACGCGACTCGTCTAGACTAGACTACGCTCGCAGCGTCCGAGAACGCTTTTGTTTCAATTACGAACGCTGAGACATGAGGTTTGAGAATGGGTGCGNTTTATAATATTAGTGTAGATTATCCTGTCCGCATAAGGTTGTCAGAAGCAGTAAATATTCTCTTTGAAAGATATTATTTGGCTAAAAGAGTCATAATTAAATTTTCAGTCCATTCTTAGCAAGTTATGTTGCATGTAGCTTATTAGCGATTAAAAAGCGCTTTAGGTACGCTTAAAACAGCAGAACAGAAATGAAGCCACGTGGAAAGCGTCGGATGCACCCAATACCGATTCCGAAAACACCTATTGAGAGAAGCAATGGAAACGTGTCGAGCGGCCGTGCCAATATGGCGGAGTCTGTTACATTCGCAGACGAAATCGCATTTGCTCTCACAGTTTTACGGTCATCGCACAGAGTGGATATAGGATTGATATTGTAACGTATCTGCAGTGTATCAATGTATAATAGTAAAAGTAGATAACGACAAGGCTCTATGCCCAAAGTTATCAACTAGTTTTTTGTATCTAAGTGTGGGATTTGATGGGTCATCCACAAGATGGAAGCTAAGGTGGAATTGTTTCCTTCCGAACGGGTGCTATGATCGGGCACCAAGGTATTTAATATGCTAGTTTTGGCAGAAACTTTGACATCGCGATGCAGATTTGGAGGCGCGGTGGCGTGTGCCATAGTAAGGTAGAAGTCAACGCCATCTATTGGTTAATGACTGTAGTGACGTGTCGAAGATGTCGCCACATAAGAACGTTGAAACTCCGCTGCAAATATGTCAAATACCTAAGTACAATAAAATATAACACAAGTGAAGTCAAGCTCTATTCATGTTACTAAAATTATCACGTAGTATCATAAAAACTACATCTAATCCCTTCTTAATTCAAAGTACTCCAAGCTTAGCTGGAAATGCAACAGCTTAGAGTAAGTAAGTAAGCATTTATTTGCTGCACACAAAGTCACATACATAGTTCGACAAAATAACATAATACAATATTGAACATGCACATTCAAAAATAAAAAAAATAAAATAAATAACAATGAGAAATGAAATAATGTGAGCAGAGTTGCGGCAGCAAAAGGTCTCCGTCTCAGCATGTGTCACAAGCTAATGCCTTTCAGACGGCGGCCGACGAAAGTGGAGAGCGGCGGTAATCGCCGCAGCAATTCGCAGGGGCATTAAAACACAAATGATAAGGAAAAATTAAATAAATAAAAAGTGAAAATTAGTTTAATGTCAAAATGATATATTAAATTATGTAAATTAAATGTCAGGAATAGGATTAGCAGGTCAGTATTATAAATAATGTCAAATTAGAGGGGTCGACTACACCTGGCCATTAGAGATTTTTTGGAATGCCAGTATGTGCTTTTTAAGTTTACTTTTAAAAGTAAACTTGGTCATAGCTTGCCTAATGGGTGGTGGAAGGTTAGTAGGTAGGTAGAGATACTCCTAGGAGCGCTCGCGCTCCGATAGCTTAGGGTTTCTGTTATATTTGTATTATATTTTTATCAAAATAGAATTTTCTTGAACCGATTAATGAAAATCCTTACATTTCATAAAAAATATTTCCTTTCTGTTGTATAAAATATGTTATGTTTGTCTCTGATAAATTAGAGAGCTAGGGTTACTTAGGCTTGGTTGCACCATCTACTTTAACTATGACAAACGTCAAAAATCTGTCAAACTCCATACAAAAAGCACCGTTTAACGTCATAGTTACTGTCAAAATAAGATGGTGCAACCCACCCTTAAAGTTAAACAAACTGACGATGGTGATGCGATGCAAAAGTACAAAGCTACACAAAAACGCTCCGATCCCTAACGTTTGCAGATTCCAAAACTGTCTTCAAAACAATCCGATTCTAGCATCTAGTAGACTGTGAAACCGTGTGAACCGGTGAAATGCATCCAATACGAATTCCGAAAACGTCACGTATTCAAACCGGCTAGGGGCAGAGCTAGGCAGTGGTTCTTAACCGGTGGTCCGCGGACCACTGGTGGTCCCTGGAGGCATTCCAAGTGGTCCACGAAGTGCACTTGCACGCCTTAGTCAAAACCACTTTAAACTGATTTTTGCAGTCAAAATGGTTCACTTTAGACCGATTATGATTATGAGGTGGTCCCTGACAAGACAGAAATTTGGTAAAATGGTCCCTCATGATTTAAAGGTTAAGAACCACTGGGCTAGGGGCTAGGAATGCGCCGATAAGTGTGGCGCTTCTGTAACACTCTCCGACGCGATCTAATTTACTCTAAACTTTTACGCGACTCGTCTAGACTAGACTACTTTCGCCCCCGGGGAAAAAGAAACTTCGGGAATAGAACCCGAAGTTTAAGGAAATTTATTTTAAACTATTTCCCTCAATCTGGGAGAGCTAACCTGTTTTGAGGTTGCTTCCTTGGGTGTTACCTCAGTGAGGGTTTCTAAAGCAATATCATTAATTTCTTGTAATTCTACGTTTTTTCTTGTTTTTAATGAGTTTAGGATGCTGCGGCGGGTTTTTACAAAAATAAAGATCTTAAAAACTATAAAACATATAACAATGGCGAGTATGACTATGGTAAATATTGAATAATGTGTGTTATATTTTATAAAATGTGGTTGATTGATAATTTCTTCTGTTTTGTTTACAATAAAGTTTGAATACTGTTTATAATTTCTAAGGTACTCTAAATCAAAATTTTCAATTTTATTGTTATTTAATTTTAACAATTTATCTGTTATATTTATGTTGCAACATGCATCCTGGGCAATATTAAAAGTGGGTTGTTCTATATGTATAGTTATGAATTGCAACAACTATAATTTATTATCCAAGCTCTAAATAATCGCTACTACGAGTAACTGATCATAAAATGTTTTTCCAATCGTTCAAGCTCCCGAGGATCTACCGATAGGTCGGGTGACGTAATCTTGAAATTATTATTTTAGCCGGCGCGGAACTTCCGGAAGGTCGGGTGACGCCGAACCGTGAACCGTGTTTACTTTGGCAGTTATATTCTATATTTATTCGATTCTAAAATATATTCCCAAAAATTTTGAAAGTTGTTTTAATTTGTATCACTTGGATATGATTTGTATTAGAAAGTGCTGTGAGTGTGACGCTTGAACGGAAGGAAGTCAACCTAACTTAACCAACTGCGTATTTCTATACTGTGTAGCCGCGAGAGCTCTTTGGCGCGCTGTCTTCGACGAAGTATTGCGCGCGCAGATTTTGACAGCGCGAAATACCTACTTTAGCAGAAATACCAAGCCTTAATTTATAAATGGGTATAAATGGTATAATGGGTCAAATTTTGACAACCTATGTAACTATGGTTCACAATAAACGTATTTTGAATTTGAAATTTGAATTTGACCAGACTGACGCCAGGCCAGGCCACTTTGAAGTGTTAAATGTAATACTTAATTATCTTTTGTAAATGTTTTGTAAAAATAATCGCATACTTTTTCATTTTTGGAGCGATTGAACAGTATAGGCTCAAGGGCAATGGAGCATGCTATACTCGGAGTTTCTTTGCGTGATCGAAACAGAAATGAGATCCTAAGTGACTGGCATGGCATAGCCCTCAAAATCGCTAAAATCAAGTGACAGTGGACGGAGCACATAACTCGCAGAGCTGATGGCCGCTGGGGCAGAAAAGTTCTAGAGTGGCGACCACTGGCTGGAAGACGTATTGTGGGCAGGTCCTCCCCTACTAGTTGGACTGACGATCTGGTGGAGGTCGCGGAAGATGCCAGGATGCAAGACCGGTCGCTGTGGAAATCTTGAGGCCTTTGTCCAACAGTAGACGTCATTCGGCTGAAACGAACGAACAGAACAAACTGCATTGGCATGTTGTGTCAGCCTGTAATTGTTGTTGCACTGTAACTTTGTTCATATTTGTTATTTTAAGTACACATGTTGTTATGTAACAATGTTGGTATAGTCTGGTCCGGGAGCACGTAGAATATTGTCCAATGACCCCAAGCTACCCATCTTTATTGCTCGCACGTAATTATGTTGTTGACACGCTCGCACACTCACTGCGGGCGCCCGTCCCACAGTCGCGACAGCAATATAATTACGCGCGAGCGATAAGGATGGGTAGCTTGGGGTCATTGGACAAAATTCTACGTGCTCCCGGACCAGACTATAGACCTAATAAATAAATAAACAGCATAATGAATAATGTGGATGTCCCAGCTTCTCGGAGGTGTCGGCGCTGGCCACGCTGTGGGTCAACGGCACCGCGTGGGTGTGGTGGGGCGACGGCGCCGGCCGCCTGCGCCGCGCCGCGCTCACGCAGCCCGCGCCGCCCGCGCGCGCTGAACTGCTACCCGCGTTGACACTCGTGAGTCATTGTCCTAACGCTTCCACAGCATAGTGCTTCGTTGGGACAGAGTAAATACAAATGAGTAGGTCATCTTCGTAGAAACGCCCGAGCGCGGTTTGTATGTGAAATAATTTAGCGTTGATTAGCGGTCAGTTGCCCCGAATTTTGTCAGAGTGTGCGTGCGCGCCGCATACGTATTGGCGTGCGCTTACATACAAACCGCGCTCGGTGCGTTTCTATGAAGATGACCTACTCATTTGTATTTACTATGGTTGGGACCTGTTCCAACTTCACTGATCAATCACAAGCTTGCAGTAATGGGAACGATGAACAAGAATCTGTTAGCTTGTATCTCTTCGGTTAAAACTTGCACAATTCCATGCACAGCAGATTTCGATGGTTATAACTTTTTATCAAGGCTCGGATACCGGTTTATTTTTCAAACCGTTATAGCCTTAAGTATAGCCTGACCAGGAACATAAAAACCCTGGCTTAGAGGCGCTTCAATTGCATTTGATAATGCAACACTGGGTACAGTCGTACCTGTATTAAATTAATAGGCTAACTTTATGTATCAGGATTCAGGATTATAGGCTTATTTAATATTTTCATAAATTAACAAAAACGTATTATTATAGGTAAACGGGTTTAAATAAATTAAATGAAACCATCAATCGAGCAAGTAGGATTTTATTATTATTCATCAATAATCAAATTCTGAACTTGAATATTCAACTACAATGTCTGCTCATGAACGCTTCAAACTCGGTACTTCTTTCCCAATTCCATAAAATTCAATACTTACAAAGTGACAAAAAACTTTAAAATAGGTAGTTGAAACAAACCACAGCTAATTTTCATAGTTGACTGTACTATACGATAAACATGTCAGTCAATTTGACAACCTTTGTCGGAAACATTATTCAATGAAAATATTGTCCGAACCCTTAGTATTTCTCTTCGACAAATACTTTAACACATTGTGAACCACTTTTCTTTCACGACTATAAAAAGATTTTAGCAATTTAATTCACAAAATCAATTGCGCACATTTAAAATAAAGTTTGTTTACACTTTGACAGCAATAGACTGACATGCAAGGTGACATGTCAATGAAGTTTTCAGTTACTGTTGCCATTAAAAGAAATTAGTACCATTAATTTTCCGCAACATGGCGAGGGTTTTTATGTTCCTGGTCAGGCTATACATGAGAACGAAATAATGTCATTTTCGTTAGTCAAAACCGGTATTCATAACGTTATTTTTCAGAATCAAGTTTTCGGTTACATTTTCGTTTTTCACCACTTTCTTCTCTCTCTTTACTGAGGCACTCGCGTACTGCAGCGGAGCGCGGTGCAGTGGGATAATCACCATAACCTCGCGCTACGCGACAGAACGCGGTGCAATGTGACAATTGCCTTAGGTAATTTGAGAAGCATAGAAGTTTTGAACCGTTGTGTCTTGCTTAGATCCCTGGCGGCGCGAGCATCCGCGGGCTGGCCATCGACGCCCGCACACGACGACTGTACTGGTCGTGGGTGTGGACGCGCGCGCGGCCGGCGGGCTGGCGCGGCGCGTGGGCGGCGGGCGCGCGCGGCGGCGTGTCGGTGGCCACGCTGCACGCCGCACGACGCGCCACGCTGCACGCGCACGACCAGGCCGAGCCCGATGATATTGTGATACATCCTGACACTGGGTGAGCAAGCGCGGTATTGTTATACAGGCTGTTTTATGTAAGGTGTCAAGCCGAAGCCAGCTGACAGGTGAGGAGAGGATCATACATATGGGGATGGAATCCCTTTAGTCCACGTTCGTAACTGAAATTAGATAACCAACTACGAACATGACTTTGTTTTTTGTTTGATAACCAGTTATGAAAATGGAATTTACTTGTCGTTTTTGTAACCATGTTTCATAACCAGCTACGAAAATGGTTAGGTTAGGGTTACTAATTAATTAATATTTTATCCACTTTCGTAGCTAAGTTTTCGTAAATGTTTTTTTTCTCTGCGGTCCTTACCTATCACTTGGCTTCAGCTCTTGTATATTATGTTTTTGTGAGACGTCAACTTCTGTTGAACGAAGTATTTGTCGACCACTAGCTAATATTATGCATTAAATAATTTTAGCCTTCCTATTGAAGTTGTGTTTCAACTGATTTCTTTACTTAGTATTTTTTGTCAAATTTTTAATTTCTCAGGTAAATCTTTTGGCACGAGCCACTGACATTACATTATGAACATTACAATACAGGTATTACATTAATAATTAACTAACATCCGTAGATATTTACAAACGATGCTTGCTTAAGTGAAGCAGCAAATCGAACGCACAGCGTTGAATAGACCTCTGTGATTGGTTCGTGTGTCACCCTGTGGGTCCACGTGCACTGTAAGGCAGTTATCACATTGCGCCGCGCGCGGAGCGCGGGGCGACAGATTTGTATGCAAGTACCTCAGTTTGTACAGAAAACACGCGCGGCACTTCACACTGACAACGCGTCCGCGCGCGTGATTTTTATATGAAAATCGCGGCGCAGTGTGATAACCGCCTAAGACCTAATAGTAATGTTTGTGAATACGGGCGTAAATCTCACATACATGAGACCTGCTTGATTTCGTCTCGCAGCCAACTGTTCTGGTCGGACCGCGGCTCCACGCCCGGCATCATGACGGCAGCGGGCGACGGCAGCGCCGCGCGCTGGGTGGTGCGGCGGCGCGCGCGCCGGGTGTCGGCGCTGGCGCTGCACGCGGCGGGCGCGCGGCTGTACTTCGTGGACGCGTACTACGACACGCTGGAGAGCGTGCGGCTGGACGGCAGCGCGCGCGCGCTCGTGGCCGCCTTCGCGCTGCGCGTGCCTCGCGCGCCGCCCGTGCCGCACTACGAGCGAGACGGTCAGTGATACTAGAACTTTTGCCAATTTTTGCTACTTACAAAGTGTTCGTTGAGAAAAAACTGTGTGAACAGGTATTGTCTAAATGTATACAGTAAGGCCTCTCGCCCATATCGACTTTTTGTACTGACGCACGTTAGTCACATTCGCAACGCGATTAGAAGTGACGTCAACGTGCTACTAACGCGCTACAGCATCGCAACTGTATTGATGCAAGCACGTGACCGTATTGAACGACATCGGGGAGAGAACGGACAGAGGGTGGCGTGGCAACTGTAGCGATCACAGAAGTGTGACAGTATCGCATCTGCATCATGGATGTTTATGTGGTGGGTGGGTATTTGTGGGTTACGATAGCATTGCGATTGTATCGGTATGAACCTGTACGAACGCACGAACATAATTTGTACAAAAAGTCATCGTAGGCCTTCGTTTGTTTTATTTTGTTGCGACATTATGTTTGAACAAATTAAAATGAGTCTGTTGTGTATTCATGCGCAGAGCTGTCGGCGGCGGCGGTGAGCGTGCGCGCGTGCGCCCGCCTGGTGGTGTGGGAGGAGTGGGCGTGGTGCGGCGGCGCGCGCGGCCTGGCCCGCCTGCCGCGCCGCCCGCGCGTCTCTACGTCACCCGCGCCCGCGCCCGTGCCGCGCCACGACCGCACGCACGTCACCGGCCTGGCGCTGCTCATGGAGCGACCTGCAGGTACACACTACACTACACTACATGTGCCCGCCTGGTGGTGTGGGAGGAGTGGGCGTGGTGCGGCGGCGCGCGCGGCCTGGCCCGCCTGCCGCGCCGCCCGCGCGTCTCTACGTCACCCGCGCCCGCGCCCGTGCCGCGCCACGACCGCACGCACGTCACCGGCCTGGCGCTGCTCGTGGAGCGACCCAAAGGTAGGTACACACTACATAACACGCGAAGACCATGATCAATATAAAACGACAACAGCTCAATACTGTCGTTATTGAACTGGCCGAATCTACACTCGCGAACAAAAATATGGAATCACCCTATTTGATTCGAGCGATCACAAAAACTAAATGACTAATAGAAAACAAATAAAAATGGTACCATATTATAAACTTTACATTGATACCACAGATACATGCATAGTCATTCAGTTCGTAAGATCGCTCGGAACAAAACACAAGGGGGTGATTCCATACTGAACTTTTGCTCGTAAGTATAGTTCCGACAAATACGAGTTCGAAATCTACCGTCAGTAGACTCTTGTTGTTGTTGTGAACTCACTCATAACACAAATGTATTTATAACTGTAGCACTTAACTGAGTCAGTATCTGAAGTACGGGAGCGACATGGGAGGGTGTTTTTTGTTACGTCAAATATGTGTGACGTCAGATTTGTATGCTCTGTCACGTCATAATACGTTAAAATCACTCGTGCTGCTCCCATCATACCTACCTTACGCACGGTCTCAGCTATTTAAGCGCTATAGTACATACCATGAGGAGTTAACGAAACTTAAAAACAATACAATTTATTTTAACGTATAAGTAGATGAAGCACAAGTCACTTGTGTTGCAGACGAGCCCGCGAACCCGTGCGCCCGCGCAGACGGCGGCGAGCTGTGCGATCCGAGCGCGTTATGCGTGCGGGGCGCGCGCGGCTTCGCCTGCCTGTGCCCCGACGGCCTGCAACCTTCTAGCGAAGGGCCCGAGGTCAGTGCCCTGTCACACACCCCCCACATTCACCATTAACATTTCAGCCACAGGACGTCCACTGCTGAACATAGGCCTCCAATGATTTCCTTAATGGCCTGTTGATAGCGGCCTACATCCAGCGCCTTTCTGCTATCTTTATGAGATCTTTAGTCCACCTTGTGGGTGAACGTTTTATGTTGAGATTTCCGGTACGTGGCCTCCACTCCAGAACCTTGCTGCCCCATCGGCCGTCAGTTTTGCGTACAATGTGTCCTGCGCATTTCCACTTTAGCTTGCTAATCCATCGGGCTATTTTTGATTCAATCTCGTAAAGAAACATAGAGCCCTCTCCATAGCACGCTGTGTAACTTTGAGCTTATTTAGAAAGCCTATAGTGAGAGGCCACGTTTCTGAGCCTTATATCATAACTGGTAACACACTGGTAGTAGACCGACTGACCGACAAGACTGGTAGTAGTAGATAGACGAAAGTCTATAGGCACTGAGGTATTTCGGACGAAAAGATGTGTAGTTTCTCCACGTTCACTACATTTGAATATTGTATTTGTAATAATGAATTCAATAATTCATTATTAATGACAATGTCATTAATCTGTAATTCAATTGTTTCCCTTGCAGAAGAAATGCGTCTCCTCTCCGTTCGATCGCCTCCTGCTGGAAGGCGGGGGCGGAGAGGGCGGGGCCCGCTCCAACGGCTCGTGCTCGCTGGCCTGCGGGCTCGGCAAGTGCGTCCTCGACAGTGAGGTGAGTACCAATGACTGGGGCCAGTCTCCTGTCCTCCATTTCTTACTCTTTAAACTTTTACAATAAGCTTAAAAACTAAAAATTGCGTATAAAAAAGTTCATCCCCAATTTTCCACCCTTGGGGGTGAAATATTTTCTTCAAATTCGCATGAAACCACCCTTTTGATAATACCTATTCAACAAAAAAATAATCGTTCAAATTGATTTATAATCGGCGGAGATATTGCGTATAAAAAAGTTCATCCCCAATTTTCCACCCTTGGGGTTTTTTTTTCTATTATTAAATTTAAATGGGACCACCCTTGAGGTATTACCTATACGCCGAAAAAAGATTTGTTCAAATCGGTTCATAATTGGCGGAGTTATCGCGTAACAAACATAGAAAAAAAAAAAACATACGGGTCGAATTGAGAACCTCCTCCTTTTTTTTGAAGTCGGTTGAAAATTACCGTAATCGGGGCTCTGGCTTTATTATACTACCCGTTCGCGCTAAGTTTGCCGGTCCGTGGAACTCCTGTGTAGCCTGGATCTACAGATTGACCGTCAATAAAAATCCAACCATTTCGTTGCAGGTCCAATGACAGTTTAACTTTACCCAGGACAAACTTGAACTTCAAAGTTTTAGTTTAGTTCTAGAAATACAGGCGTGAAAAAATAAAACAAAATATTTTTTATACTTTGTAAGAACTACAGTTGATTTTAACAACTTCGCCTCCAGGGCGTGGAGGCGTGCTCGTGCCCGCCGCTGTACGGCGGCGCACAGTGCCAGCACTTCCGCTGTGCGCGGCACTGTGCGCACCGCGGCCGCTGCTACCTCGACCCCGCGCCGCAGCCGCCCAACGCCACCGCCCCGCCGCCGCTCAAGGTAAGGCTCACTGACTAACCTGCCGTTGAGGAAGTTTGACGCAAACGCAGATAATGAGGGTTTTCGCGTATGAAAAATCCGCCAGATGGCAATACCACAGAATAATAATAAGTACTACGTACAGAAGTTTTACTTCGCGAAGGTATTTAAATAAATGTATGCTCAATGCCATTAACAATATGGTGTAATTTAGCCTGTCTCAAGAGTCAAGCACCATTTTGTTGACAAACGTCAGTGATCGGCACTGCGCCGAAGCTATAGGGCTGACTTCGGTAAAATGATGTGACGTGAGGTGCCAAACTGCGGAAAAAGGCGGAGGAAATACATGATTTAGCATGAATTATCATGAATAATATTAACTACTTATTTACCTCTCAGTGTCTTGAGGCAACTTAAAAAAGTACATTCTGTGTTTTTATTATTATTTAGGCAGTTATATTGCACAGTATTTTAAGTATTTAGTACACCATTTTCTTTATTTTCTTCCATCATACACAAGAATACGCGTGCGTGAGTCAATGTTCGCTCGTATGTGAGGCCTTGTCGAATAGTATCCTGTAGGTGGGCCATCGTGCGTGTTTTGTTTTCGATGTAAACTCGCGGAGATGAACAGGCCTGGCAATACGTAGAACCGAGGTCCAAATGCTACATGATTGGTTATTTTTGACGTGACATTGACAGATACTATAATAAATGTATGAACTGTATTATGTATGTGACTTTGTTGGTGTACCTAATAAATAAATAAATATGTCAAAATCCACCAATCACGCAGCAGTCAGACCCCACATCCACGTCCCGCTATCTAGCGGATCTTTCATACGCGAAAACCCTCATTGTCTGATTCATAATGACGACTGATTAATGCCTTATCACTCTAGTATAAAACTCATTTATTTTTGCAAATAGGCTTTGAAAAAGCACTTTTACACGTCCCAGTATTAACCCTACCACTGCTTCGAGACCATAAATGGGCCAATGCTGAGAAGAAGCTGCGCAAGAAACTCAGTCTCTATTTTCAGCTAGTCTTTCAAACATACAAATTATAATCATAAGTATTGATGCGAGCTAGGCAGTTAAAAGTGTTTAAGATAGTAGTACCAACTGAAGAACGCTGAAGCAGAAACGTATTTGCTTGCACTCACCACATTGATGTTACTATTGTCTCGTCACTTACCAATATACATAGTTGAACGATTCTGAAACGTCAAGTGGCAAAAATCGGAACTAATAATTCAGTGTCGATAGTAGCGCCCATATTATACCTGGGACGGTTCAGTGTTGGACAACTGTAATCCCATCAAAAACAATACTTGTCAAAAAAACCAAGTCTCGCAACTCAGTTGTTCTACGGTAAAAAGTTGTGAGATCCATGTAATACCAAGTCCAGGCCAGGAAATCTTTAACGTTTTACATAAATTATTGACTTGGCCATCGCACTAAATAATTTAATTTACACGTGTTTTCATGCGATGGCCAAGTCAATATATTTATGTAAAACGTTAAAGATTTCCTGGCCTGGACTTGGTATTACATGGATCTCACAACTTTTTACCGTAGAACAACTGAGTTGCGAGACTTGGTTTTTTTGACAAGTATTGTTTTTGATGGGATTTACTCGACTTGGCGGTTGCACTACCGTGCCCCCAAATATTTTAGTTTTTCCTTGATTCATACACCAAACACTACTTATATTCCAAATTTGAAGCTTCTAGGTCTGCTAGAAGTGCCTTAGAGTTTTGATGATCGGTGAGTCAGTGAGTCAGTGAGTCAGTCAGTGAGTGACAAAATTAAGTAACTTTGACCCGTTATAATTCTTAAACTACTGGTTCAAATTGAATGAAATTTTAAATATACCGTGTCTTTACAATGCCTGCATAGCTAATGAAAATTCAGCCTTCTAGTTTTATCCACAACGAAGTTACAGGCGGTCGAAAATGGCCTGAATTGCTTCGAGAAAAGGATGGTACGGCCGTGCCGCTTTTTTGCTCGACTTGGTGGGGGCACTGCCGTGCCCCCAGATATCAACTGGTGAGCACAAATATGGCAGCCCTTATTGGTTAAAATAAAACATTCAACATTGGTTAAAATAAAATCATTCAACATCAGTAATATCATGAATTCATGACTTTCTTTTGCATAACCACGTATTGTAAGCACTATTTTAAAAAGTCTACACCAGTATTTCTCAACCTGTGGGTCTCTTTAAGGGAGTCGCGAGAGGTCGTAAAAACTACCTCGTATTTGGACCCTGAAACATCTTTGTAACATTATAAAATGCATAAAAAAAAGCGAACGGTCGGGGGTCTTGTCAGAAAAAGGTTGAAAAACACTGGTCTACACAAATGAAGAAATGTTGACTTTGAGTATCATGCTTGTGCAGTGCGATTGCTTCGGCGGCTACTCGGGCCCACGTTGCGAGACGGCGCCGACGATCGAAGCGTGCAGCGCGACGCGCTGCCACAATGGAGGCACCTGCCACGTGGTGCGCGGCGCGCCGCTCTGCGTCTGCGCGCCAGGATACACCGGTGAGTCATTCTGTAAATCTTATCCCACTAAAAACATTCTGTAAAAAACTAGCCAAGTCNGATCATCATCATCATCATTTCAGCCATAGGACGTCCACTGCTGAACATAGGCCTCCCCCAATGCTCTCTACGTTGATCAATTGGTAGCGGCCTGTGTCCAGCGCTTCCCCGTAAATCTTATCGCTTTGCCTATTATGTTGTGTATCGGGTTTGTGGGAAAAAAAACATAGTTTTATGACTATGTGTTAATTTGCATGTGGACATAGCTTACAAGATAGGTCCCTATAATTGATGCTTACTGACCGTGGTGTATTATCTTTAGGTTATTAATACTTAGTTTTGTGACCTGTCATTTGCTTTGCACAGGCACTGGAGGGAAGTCGAACCTTAACTTCGAACTCTTATGTTCTGCTGATTAATTTGATCTTCACTGGTTCGATTTTTATTAGTCGTCAAGTTGTAGGTTTTGACTACACAGGAGTTGCAGCGATGGAAACAAGAATTGTTAATAAATAGTCCTGTAAAAGTACGTTCGTACTATTGAGGTATTAAATTTATGACACCTGTGTATCGATCGTAATGAAAAACATAGGGGAGAGTTCGGTATATTGTACCGCCGCGTAAATTGTACCACCCTCATATTTCGTAAAGTATTTATTGAATGTCTGTAATTGCAACACTCAGCGATACACAACTAAAATCAATTAATATCGGCCATGTGGTTTTTGCCGTGACAACGAACACGAGTGTTTTATTTTGAAAAGTATTTTTTCATTGTTTTCAAGTAACTTTTGACAATACATGTTTAGTTTGTAATTTTGTTAAATTTAATCACAGGGTGTTTCTAATATATTATTTAGAAGCGTAAATTAGTGTGGATTAGAATTATTTGAAACCTTTTTCGGTATTTATCAGCTATATTTTTTACCGATTTTTTAATAGCACTATCACCTAGTCGGCTAAATTGTACCACATCAAGTTGTATGAAACTTTACCAAAGGATTTTGAAATTTTTTTCAGTAAATCATATTTTGAAGTTATAATAGCGTAGTTATGTTTGACTAACAATAAATGAAAGCAAAAGACTGCCAAAGTAGATTAGGTACAAGTGTGCGTTACGATAATTGGAATTACAAAACTTGTACTCAAAATCGTGATAACGTGTAAAACAATATCGATTGTCTATGTTATTAAGTACTGTTCCTTTTCGTTTCCTAATTTGTTAAGAATGTATCGTATAATATTTTGCCTTATTTGTTATAGGCTTGAAATTTATTGAAATCCAATTTAGTAACCCTGTGGTACAAATTATCGAACCGGTTGGCTAAATTGGACCGAAGCTCTGAACTCGTACTTTGTTGATTTGTGCTAAATATACAACAATTATGTTAATTAATACTTATAAAATAGTAAGTTTAATAATGTATCTTTTATTATATACCATGGACATTAGCAAAAACAAAAGAAAACTATGTGTAAAATGGGATTGAATAAAACTGGTCCAAATTAGCGGACTCTCCCTTACTACATATAGTCTGGTCGCCGAGCACGTAGAATTTTGTCCAATGACCTCAAGCTACCCATCCTTATCGCTCGCGCGTAATTATATTGCTGTCGCGACTGTGCGACGGGCGTCCGCAGTGAGTGTGCGAGCGCGACAGCAATATAATTACGCGCGGGCGATAAGTTTAGGTAGCTTGGGGTCATTGGACAAAATTCTACGTGCTCGGCAATCAGACTTTACACGAGGTAAACAGCCTCAGGCCAGCCAAGCGAGCGGTTGTAACGTGCGTGTGTGCCCGCAGGCGCTCGCTGCTCGCAGTGCCTGGACGCGGCGGCGTGCGCGGGCGGCGCGGTGTGCCGGCGCGTGGCCGGCGTCACGCGCTGCGAGCCCGCGCAGTGCGTCGACTACTGCCTTAACCAGGTGCGTGGTACACATTCATTTATTCTATCAATTTTTACATTGTTTTGGAGCCATATTATTTTTTATTGGTTTAACCGAGTCAATCCGTGGTTAGTGTCCGTGACTTCCACTCGACGTGGGGTACACTGAAAATCAGTGTTGTGGCCTTCCTCACGGCCACGGCGTATGCTGAGTGGAGTCCCGTTGCGTTGGGCATCGCTGTTGCGACAGGATAGCACTGCTCAGTTCACTTTTTATTTCCTTGTAATATTCATGTGCTATTTTTGTCTTTTTTTCCGTATACCTTCTTTGTCTTTAATTAAGTGATGTTCATCGTAATAAATGTTTCTTTCTTACTTTCAATCCTATCTTACTACGATTGATTTTTGTTAAACGTTCAGGTTCCAAAACTTGACTGGCTTTTTCACTGGCACACTACTATTAAGACACATTTCTGTGAAAGATGACGAACAGCTGCTCCCTTTCTTCTGAACCTAACGCTTCGGACGATTTTTCACACTAACTGTAAACATTGGTAGACTTGGAGACGAACGTCAGCCAGTTTAGAAGGTAACTGAAGCGTTTCCTCCCTTTAGGGCACATGTCACGTATCTGGCGGCGGCGCGGGCGCAGCCGTGTGCACGTGCGCGGCGGGCTGGAGCGGCGAGCGCTGCCAGCGCCGCGCGTGCGTGGACGCCGCGTGCCGCGCGCACGCCGCGCCCGCCGGCCACGCCCCCTCCGCTGACCACGCCCCCTCGCCTGCCGACCACGCCCCCGCCGGAGCGCCTGCGCTCGACAACCGCAGCACCAGCCACGCCGCGAGTGAGCCCGGTGAGTGCTTTATATTTTATCCTGTGCCCGGTGCACCAATAGGGATGTTTCCTGGGTAAAAAAGCAAGAGTTTTAATTAGTCCGTCAGTTAGCTTATCAAAAACTACTCGACACGTATTTTTCACTTTTTAAAACTAATGAAAATGTAAAGCGTACCAAAGTTCTAAAGAAAAGACCCATGACGTCAGTGAGTGCGTAAAAGTGCAACACTCTGTGACGTCGCGCGGAACTTCAACGCACTTAACTTTGTACCACATTCTGCAAATAAATAATTTGAATTTGAATTTGTAATTATTTGCTTGATTGACAATTAAAAATATATGTGTCCAATATTTTTTTACATTAAAATTAACGGACTAAAAAAATTTTAGGAAACTAGCCTATTAAAGGGTGCGCGCACGGATGACTCTTGTCTTAAAAAGAGTCACCCGTACACTTCTCAACCGTAACAGTGCTGCACTGTTTTGTTTTTCATATAAAAGAAACGATTACCGTGCCACAACTAAAATGATATTTGTTCGTGCTCAGGGCATTGATCACTTTGTCTCAACATTGTCCACGATTTCTGAACCTCATTGGTCCTAACTAAATTACGGTAATTCACACAATGGACGTGAAAAATAATTACACTTAATTACGCTATCAATACAATATTATCGTAGATTCTATGTCATCATTATCATTGTGATTACGTCTGATTCATAAGCATAAACCTATGAGTAGGACTAGGTACTTCCTTGTCAACAAAGAAAAACAAAAACTGTACTAATAAGTAAAATTTTATAAAAAAAAATAAAACCGACTCCAAAAAACCTACACTAAAACGTAGAAAAATAATTACTAATTACCTACTTATTTATTAGGACGAATTATTAATATTTATGTAGGTATACCATGATTGATACTTCTGGAGTCGGTGCCAAGATTATGAAACATGTAAAGTTTGCCTGCACCGACTCCAAAAGTATCAATCATGGTATACCTACATAAATATTAATAATTCGTCCTAATAAATAAGTAGGTAATTAGTAATTATTTTTCTACGTTTTAGTGTAGGTTTTTTGGAGTCAAAAAAAAAAAAAAAAAAAAAAAAAAAAAAACATACGGGTCGAATTGAGAACCTCCTCCTTTTTTTGAAGTCGGTTGAAAATAAGTTTTCTAGTATGCCCGCAAAAAACGTTTCACAGTATACACAAAAACATTTAAAATAATGATCGAATATGCCTGAATCATTTCCGCTTCTTCAAAGCCGTACATGAGATGTCTACGTTACTAGATTGTTTTTTTTTTAGTCTGCAGACAGTGGTGACTGAGTTTGTTGCGGCGCTTCTCCTCAGCACTTGCCAAATATTGGTGTCGAAGCGCTGGTAGGGTAAAAAGATTATGTGACATGTAGAGGCTCCTTAAGACCAAAATGTCAAAATCAAAATTATCTTTATTTGTTTAGATTAATTAAATTAGTACTTGCACTAATTTTTACTTGTCGATTTGTAAGTACTATTTATTAGTCTAAACAAATAAATGTCAAAGTAGACCTTATTGTGTTAATTAGAGTTTCGTGCTTTAAAAGAAATCTAAACCTTTCAGAGCATTTCCATGCTCGTTGAGACTAACTTGGAAAAATCACGAGTCAATATTATTCTGCTGCCAAAAATACATATTTTTAAGTGAGTATACAGAACTAAGTAGTCATCCCCTCATTTAAAACGCATTTACGCCAAAATATAATAATTTAAAAATAATATAATGTTTAACGAGTTGAAACCTTCAAACGCAAATCATGTGTACGCATTTTTTGCAAGTTAACATGAACATTTTGATGAAAAGCAAAAAACAGTCTTGAGTTTTCGGTTAATTACCCGTCATGATGATGACGAGTTGATTGTGCTCTTTTGAAGGAGGCCTCTGTAGTTTCAGGAAATAACGAAGGCTTGGATTTTCCATTACTGATTTGTGTGATTGAGTTTAAGCTGGCCCGACACTCGGCACATAATAATATGATGATTAATTAACATGAATTTCTTGTTTAACCCGGCGCCAATGACGTGAAAATAATTTCAAAGACGATGACCCCGGGTCATATTGACCCTAATTTCATCGATCACTTTTTAGGAAATTGAACAAGTAATCTTAATTTTAATTACTGTCCATGTATATAGGGTTCATTACTGAGCTAATAAAACAAAAATAAAACGAATACATTACATAAATAATTTTTTTGAAAATTTTTAAACAAAACATGAAAAAATCGTGTGTAGAAACACCATGAGTCAATATTTTTGGTTTTTGATAAAGATTTTTAGTATTAATAGGAATCAACAATGTTAAATAGTGAAAAAGAGATAAAATCAACTTTTTTTATGCAGATACAATGAGATAAGTCTTCTACTTCATCATTCAGAGCCATGGAACTGCTGCAACTGGTGCAGTATGTAATCAAATGGTCTGGGCATGTAAATGCGGCATGACGCACTTGCCGGCGTCGTACTAATGCAAGGTCGAGATTATTCAAAGACTGAGTCCATATCACTTGCGTCTTTTCACTTTTGTTGTCATTTTTACGTTCTGGCTATTACAGTCTGAAATTCTTCACTTTCGGAATCGGACTCTTCTAGCAACGTTTCATTCTTGCTGGGTCATTTAACAAAGACATTTTGACTAAAAACTTAAAAAAGAACAACATAAACTAGCACTAAACACAAAATAAGCGAATAAAAGTAAGCCACAAAATCACCGCGCCACCGATGACGCCGGGTCATAATGACCCGTTTTAATTTGAAGCCTGTGTATCTCGCTACGCAAGCGGAGTCACACTGAGCTAACTAACGGAATGGACTTAGGGAGGTTGTATCTCCAGCTATACGAACGCTCGAACCACAAAATGGACGCAAAAAAAAAATATGAACGTTTGAAAATGCCTCGGGTCAATATGACCCAGCGTCATTGACGCCGGGTTAAGAAATTAAAACTAAACAAACCTGTTGGATTGGTCTTGTTAAACAAAACGAGATAATAACTCTCTAAAAATGGAATTGATAATATTACTGTATTTATTTGTAAAAGATGTCCTTAGCTCGTGGATCTCGGTAAATCTCCATTCATCCTCATTAACTGTTTTTTTCCCAGTTATTATAAGTCTACTTATTTGTAGAGATATAAACCTAATTTAAGCTGAAACATAACCTTAATATGATTTGCCTTTAATGTTTCATACTCTTATCTACTAATTATTTTGTGATTTCCTAATGTAAATCCCAACTTCCCAACTATCCCAACTAATATTATAAATGCGAAAGTAACTCTGTCTGTCTGTCTGTCTGTCTCACTTTCACGCTTAAACCACTAAACCGATTTTGATAAAATTTGATATGGAGATAGTTTGAGTCCCGGGAAAGGATATAGGATAGTTTTTATCCCGGTTTTTGAAACAGGAAGGCGCGCGATAAAGTTTTTCGGTGACAGACAAAATTCCAGCGGGCGAATAGCTAGTGTAACATAAATAAATGTTTCCGAATTTCTCTGAACTTTTCTCTGGCCGCCTGAGTCGTGGGTAAATACCAAAAGGTCGCGGAGGCGCGATCGAAGCCGGTTGTCGCGGCCTTGGCCGGCCCGCGCGCCTCGCGACGCATGCTAGAAGCGACTAGCGTCCAAACGATGGCGGCAGTTCTTTTTACCAGCCTCTAAAATTAAATTAACTGGACACTGGCTGATGATCCAAGTGTGGAGAACAGTAATCAGCCTTGTCATTTCGCTGTATTTTTACGTCAGCTGTATCTGAGCTTTAAGAGCTTTGTACCTAATATCCCGGTATTTAAGTAGATGTGTTTATTTCTGTTCTTTTAAATACAGACTGTCTCATAACAAAATATTTGGAATGGAATAAATAAGTTAACATCTATTTTTTACTCGCACTATAGTCATAAGCATACCGATAAACATCGATCAATCAAAATTTATTCGAAATGGCTTCATAGTCACAGTAAGAGGTATATTGGTTATAGAAGCATTTATGATTTTTGTCGACCAATCAATTGGAACGAATTGATTTAACATAATAACATGAGTGGATTTAAAAAAAAATTAATGGATTTCAAAGTCCGAATATACTTAATAATACGTATATTCGGACTATACTTGGATAGCTGGCGGACGCTAGGTACTTCCAGATGCAGCGGTATCCGCGAGCAGAAGATGTGATGTACCTATAGTCTATCCAATATAGCTTGATTAGAATGACAGATGTCATCAAAAGTAACGACATAACTTTGTAGTAGCGTTCAATGAGAGCTAAATATTAGCGGACAAGAAATAATTCACGTCTGACCTACAAACAATATTTTCGACGACAGTGCTTCCAATAAAAATGATAATTTCGTGTAAATGCAGCGTTAAATTACACCAATAAGTAGTAATTCGAAATTATAAAAATCAAGCTAGAGTATTAACGACGTCTCTACAAGGTTATCTCGAGTTACAAAAATGTTAGTGTTGGGACATATCGACAAATGTCATATTAAATTAAAACTATTTTTTTAACATATTTAACAAAAAATTTTTCTAACTAATTTTTTAACATATTTAAGTCAAGTTATACGTTTTTCTAAATGTTCACTATTAAAAACCAAAAAACATTTCATTCTTAAACAATCAAACATCGGAAATCAATCACCGGTAATTTTTTGGGTATTCATAGCACCGTTGCTCTAGAAGAGATGCCCACCGCCCTCTAGCGAGAGGAAAAAACCACTGAAGAACACTGATGATAATGACTACAACTTAGGTTGTACACCCTTGACATGATTTTTAAATTTTACTGTCTTTAAATTTAAATCATAATTGTCATTTTTATTAATAAAGATATGAAGAAAAATTGGGTGCATTTTTTTATATCATTTTTTCGAAAACTTATCGATACATCTATGCGAACCGTATGAAACATACCCATCACTAGTCACATTCGTTTGACAGCCGTCATTCTAATCAAGCTATATTGGATAGAC